GATTCATTTATCAAAAAACTAATATTTTCAAATTTGAATTCAATGCACAAAAATTTTAAAAGGTAAATTTTAATAATTGAATCAGTAAATATTGTTAAGTGTATTGAACCGAAAGATGTACTACTCATTTTTCTAATTCCAAATTTTCTTCCTCTCTATCATTTCTCTTTCTTAAAATGAAACCAAAAAACTAATAAGATGCTTAGTAGGTTACTTGTTATCCTAGTTTTTGTTATTGTCCTGATGAAAACTTATAACATGGTCCATATATATATATATATATATATGCTAATAAGGGTATCCACGGAAGAGACTCCCCCTTCACACTAGTAATTAAACCACCTTTTTTAAAAAAAAATTTAATAAGGATTTAAACTACATTTTAATTTCAGGTAACTCAATTAGTTTTTAACTGTAAAATTAATTTCATATATCAAATATATTGTGTACTGAAAATCTTTAAACTTTTGAATAAATGCGACTTATAGCTCATTCTTCTGCTAAGGTGTGTTAAACGATTTCAAAGTGAGTTTGTTTTAACTTTTAATATAGATTTTGACAGATAACAACGTGCATCTTTTGTAAATAATATTTTTAAAAAGATATTATTATTTAATAATAATAAATTATATAATATAAATTATTAAATAAAAAGTAAGTCAACTAATATCGTGTACGGTAAAACACATAAAACCCATAAAATATTTTCGATTACTTGAATTTATATAACAAGATCAACACGGCACTCCATTTTTTGTGCCAGCCTCAGCCACAACTTTTCATTTTTGATAAATTTCCATTTTTTATGGTGCGTTCTTGATAAATTCATTATGAAAATGATTTAGGGAAACTTTGATAAATGGACAATAATTAGTGTATTTTTTATAATTTAATATATTTCATTATATATTTATTAATAAATTATTATTTTTAAACTTAAATTTAAAGTAAAAAATTTTCACTTATAAAATTTAATTATTAAATTAATGAATGTTGATATTATGTAAAATTAAAAAGTGTATCAATTATTATTTTTGATAAATAAGTTCTATATATATATTTTAATACAAATAATGATATATAAATAATCTATTTATATAATTTTATTTATAATTTTTATATATTATTAAATAAGTATATAAATTCAATATTATAAATTTTAACAAAATTAAAAAAAATATTAAATGGAGTTTGTACATATTTATTTTAACTTTTAAAAATTAAAAAAA